CTCAAAGGAGAGGTCCATGACTTTTAGATGAAGATGTACAGCAGAGTGAGGTCCACTGCTGCTCTCTCGTCTGTGTTGGTACATCGTCTTGTGAAGTGGCTGTTTTGTTTCTCCAGTGTAGCGCTCACTGCAGTCTTCACTGCACTGAATGGAGTAGACCACATTGCTTTGTTTGTGGCTCGGTATTTTGTCCTTTGGGTGGACCGGTTTCTGTCTTAAAGTGTTTGTATGTCTGAAAAAGACTGGGATTTCATGCTCCCTGTGTGTATTTCTGTTACTCACTGGTCTGGCAGGCACACTCCCAACCACCCTCTTTACGCGGCCTCCTCCTCTTCCTCTCTCCACCTCCACTTATCCAATTACCACTCACTGAAACAGTAACTGTAACCGAATACAGTTACTCATAATTTGTACTCTGATTACGTAACTCCGGTACATGTAATCTGTTACTCCCCAACATTCATTACCACATGACATCACAAGGTAGAACAGAGTGTTTTCTGTTTGAGAGAAGAGCATGTGAATGAAACAAACCACAACTCCAGGTCTGTTTGTGATGAAGAAACAACATTATAACACAGATCAGAAAATAGAGTAACACGAGTCCTTTAAAGATCATGTTTTTGGAACTCTTTACACTTTTAGACCTTGTAAGAAAATACTTGGAATTTCAAACTGACTTTCACAACAATATAAATGCAGATTTAAACACAGACTTGAACTGGAACTTGCTTTTATACAAATGCTATACAAATAAACTTGCCTTGCCTTGCTTTGCCTTGCTTTTCCAAAGGCGCCTTCTAGTGGTGTAACCCGTGAGCAACAGGTCCCACACCTTTTTTTAAGATAAAACCAAAAATAACACACTTGAAGAATGTGAAGAATGACCTGAAACTTTTTTTTTAGCTCATTGAACCTAACTGAAAGAAGAGAGGCCGGGTTTCTTGTGTCTTTTTTGAATGATTTTGATTTGTTTCTTTGATCAGGAGCTTTGAAATTGCCCCTTTTAACGTGAATGTGTTTTTGTTTGGTTGTTTTTTGTGCATTTCTTGTGTTTTGAGGTGATCTTCTTAACTACGCAATGGTAAAATGCACTCTTGTTTAATGTTATTGATCAAAATCAGCAGAAATTTGGGGAAAAATACAGTTTCATCACAGACATCACACGGTGGAGCAGAGCATTTTGAGCTTTGGAGATTGGTAGACAGACTAATAATAAAAAGTTACTCAAATATGTGTGAATGAAACAAAATATACAACTCAAGGTTTGTTTTTGAGGAGATAACAAGATTATAACATGACTTAAACCTCACAAGAGCCCATTTTGTGTAATGTAGGAACTTACCGTATTTTGTGCCCTATAGGGGCACTGTCATTGAATGGTCTATTTTCTGACTTTTTTCACATATAAATCGCACCGGACTATAAGGTGCATTAAACGAAACACAACAGTTAGATAAGTCAGTCAAACTTTATTTAACACATTCACAATAACTCTCAACTTTGTTCAATTTTAACACGTAAATAAATACTGTCTGAGACGCTAAATTGTTAGTATATTCACAGTAACTCATAATTGTTTAAACAGTTGGGCAATTTACAGAACGCAAGGGTCAAACACTGATAGTTTTGTAGACTGTATCGAAAGACTTTTCTCAAAACTTCAGCAAAAGGACATCTTCTGTGCGGAGACTTTAACACTGACTTTTTGAAATGTAATGATCATTAACCAACAGAAAATTTCATAAATACTTTGTATAGTCTATTGTAACGCGTAGTTGGCTTGGCGGTCTGACTGCAATATTAAGTTGTTCAGAAGTAGATTCGCTGAAGAGCCATAGGGTAAGTGAATGAAGAGCGGACACTTGTTAAAGTTTATAATATGAGAAATTGTATTATATTTTTTAAGTTGGCAATAATAATAATAATAATAATAATAATAATAATAATAACAACAATATAATATAGACTTATTTATACTTTGGATATATATATATGTATTATAAATAGGACAGATATGACATAATAAACAAAGCAAAAAACAAAACAGACAATTGAGAGTCCTGTGAGATCATATATTGTCTTTTTTATGGGGGGGAGGTTTAGTTCCACTAGTCGTATTGACTGAGATTCAAAGTTCTTGAGAGTCTTTCTTGAAGTATAGATCCAGTGAAATAGAGGGAAAAAAATATATATATATATATATATATATATATATATATATATGAGTGATTTAAAAAAGGACCTGAGGACGGGAATGGGAGGGCATCTGACACACAGGGCTATAGGAGGATGGGGTTTAAACTTATAACTACTACTACTGCTATGTTCCACAGTATTAAACAAATATATCTTGTGTTTATACTACTACTGGTGTCTTTATTTCTCAAAACTACTGCAAAAACATGTATTTTTACTGGTCCTGCTGTAGTCCTGGTTTAGACCTGGTTTAGACCTGGTTTAGACCTGGTTTAGTCCTGGTTTAGTCCTGGTTTAGACCTGGTTTAGACCTGGTTTAGTCCTGGTTTAGTCCTGGTTTAGACCTGGTTTAGACCTGGTTTAGTCCTGGTTTAGACCTGGTTTAGACCTGGTTTAGTCCTGGTTTAGACCTGGTTTAGACCTGGTTTAGTCCTGGTTTAGACGTGGTTTAGTCCTGGTTTAGACCTGGTTTAGTCCTGGTTTAGTCTGGTTTAGACCTGGTTTAGACCTGGTTTAGACCTGGTTTAGTCCTGGTTTAGTCCTGGTTTAGACCTGGTTTAGACCTGGTTTAGACCTGGTTAGTCCTGGTTTAGACCTGGTTTAGACCTGGTTTAGTCCTGGTTTAGTTTAGACCTGGTTTAGACCTGGTTTAGACCTGGTTAGACCTCCTGGTTTAGACCTGGTTTAGTCCTGGTTTAGTCCTGGTTTAGACCTGGTTTAGTCCTGGTTTAGACCTGGTTTAGACCTGGTTTAGTCTGGTTTAGACCTGGTTTAGTCCTGGTTTAGACCTGGTTTAGACTGGTTTAGACTGGTTTAGACCTGGTTTAGTCTGGTTTAGACCTGGTTTAGACCTGGTTTAGACCTGGTTTAGACCTGGTTTAGTCCTGGTTTAGACCTGGTTTAGTCCTGGTTTAGACGTGGTTTAGTCCTGGTTTAGACCTGGTTTAGACCTGGTTTTAGACCTGGTTTAGTCCTGGGTTTAGTCCTGGTTTAGGTTTAGTCCTGGTTTAGACCTGGTTTAGTCCTGGTTTAGACCTGGTTTAGACCTGGTTTAGTCCTGGTTTAGTCCTGGTTTAGTCCTGGTTTAGACCTGGTTTAGTCCTGGTTTAGACCTGGTTTAGTCCTGGTTTAGACCTGGTTTAGACCTGGTTTAGTCCTGGTTTAGACCTGGTTTAGTCCTGGTTTACTCCTGGTTTAGTCCTGGTTTAGACCTGGTTTAGACCTGGTTTAGACCTGGTTTAGTCCTGGTTTAGACCTGGTTTAGTCCTGGTTTAGACCTGGTTAGTCCTGGTTTAGACCTGGTTTAGTCCTGGTTTAGACCTGGTTTAGTCCTGGTTTAGACCTGGTTTAGACCTGGTTTAGTCCTGTTTAAAGTCGTCTAAAACAGCCCACAGTATTTAACCCTGTGTATAAAATTCTATTCCACTCGACTTCATGTAAACTGATCTCAGACTGTACAGTTGTTTGAAAAGTCCAGTGTAGAGGAGTGAAAAATAGAAACATTAAATGAATAAAGAATGAAAATCA